ATAATAACCTGTGCAAGTCGCTATGGAGCGGCTCCGGTGCCGGCGGAGGGGGCGGGGCTTAGCCGGGCCCTGGGCGGGGCCACGGCCTGCACCGGGCCAGGCAAGATGGCGGCCATGGAGCCCGAGTCTGCGCCTCTGACCCTAGAATCGCTGCCCACCGACCCCCTGCTCCTGATCTTGTCCTTCTTGGACTACCGGGACCTAATCAAGTAATGGGACGACGCGTATGGCAGGGGTGGGGTCACGGGAGCGGGAGGAGGCGGTGAGGCAGGAGGGACCGAGGCCCGGCTCGCCGACTGGCCCCGGACCCCCGCGAGAACCAGAAGGTGATGCCGGGGCCGCCCTCCTGCAGAGCCACCCGGGGGCCGGGGCGAGACGGGGGCGGTAAGGGCCCTGCCTTGAGGTTTTCGGTCCAGGACCCAGGCCCGGGAGCAACGGCAGCCCTCTCCCCCAGGCCTCGGTGAGGCTCGTTTCCGGGGGGGAGGAGGTACTGCTTCCCTGGGCCTCCCCGACGACCCCCGCACCCCACACCCACCGGTCCCCACCCGAGGGGGCCCGGCCCCGGCCGCCTTGGAAAGCCCCTTTCTGGCCCGAGCGCTCTTCTCTGCCTGGGCTCCGGGCCTGCGGAGCCGAGCACCGGAGTAGGCAGGTAGGGCGCCGCCGGAGAGCAGCCGGGCGACCCCCTGACCCCCGGGTGCGACTTCCGCGGCACCGTGATATCTGGCAGCGCCGCGCTAGGACTCACATGCTGGAAAATTGTTTTGCTTTCAGCCTTCCTCCTCACGGTTGCATGTTGCATTTTGTGTTTTGGTACTGACTTCCGTTGGTGCGATACAGGTGACCGCTTTCTCTCCTGTATGCTTTGGGTTGCCCAGATTACCAGCATCTGTTCCAAAAATAAACACCGGTTGCTGGTCAGGGTGGTTAAATGTCCAGTTCCTTCAGCGCTTGAGACTGGGATGGAAGAAATGGCGCTGTTTACACCCTTGACAGCTGGTGGCATGGCTCTTTCTTGTGCCACCACATGTATTGAAGAGGAGGTGAAGTCGCCCTCTTAAGGATGGGTAGGCAAGATTCGTTTTGTTTTGTTTTGTTTTGTTTTGTTTGGATTAACTATTGGATTCTAGCTATCTGGTGATTGTGCGCTGTGTTATCAGGGATCCTTTTAGAAATGCAGCCTTTTTGGAGTTACTGGTAGCTGTTGGTTGGTCTAGCAGAGTGGTGACAGAGGGGTAACTCCAGTTTCTGGTTGCTCCCTATATTAGTACCTGCAACACTTAATTTTTCCTGAAAGTAAATTTTTGGCTACTCAGGCTTGTACCAAAGCAGAGAGAGAGAAAGTTTATCTTTTCTTTGAGAAAGGCTGTTCCAGCTGCAGACTGTTTTCATCTGAAATATTCTGTTGCTATAGCCTTTTAAAAATCTAACACAAACACACACCCTTATGATCTATGGACTACATTGCTGCCAGGGTGATCTTTCTAAGACAGATCTTGCTGTCATTCTCCTTAAAAACTTATGATGCTTTTCGTTTGCAGACTATAACCTAAATTTCTGGAAGCATGTAAGGCGCTTATCGTTTGGCACAATGCGCTCTAGCCAAATCAGATTTTTGCCAACATACTACATGTTTGTGGGTGTTTTTTTTTAATTCTGTGGCTTAAGCTCTTGACCTTGCCTGAAATGCTTTGTCCCCCTCTTCTCATCCTGGCAAGATGAAATTTCTTTAAGACCCCCTCACTTGATTCCTCCTTATTCTCTGCTTATTTGCCATGCCAGATGGATTGTGCACTTCTTAAACGTAAAGACTCCCCTGTTTATCTTTGTAGTCATAATTTATTCACAGATTTTTTTTTTGACTGCCTGCTGTGTGCCAGTCTGTTAAATGTCTTGGATACAATACTGAACAAGACAGATAAGGCCCCTCTCATGAAGCTTACTGTCTAGTGGGAAAGATGGAAAACAAGTCCATAATACAAGAGATAGTATGTGCTATGAAGGAAATAAGTCAATTGCTCTGTTAAGGAATGAGGGAGAGGCAGTTCAAATTGGAAGGAGCTGCCATATATGAAGGACGCCACAGAGCAGTCCTAGCAGAGGGAACAGTGTAGTGTGTTCAGAAGCTGAGTAGACAATAACATGACCTGTTGGAGGAGCTGGAAGACTGGTTTTGCAGGAGATAGGGAGTGACTCAGGCAGAGTGGCTTGAGAAGAGATGGCTGAGATCATGCAGGACCTTGTGAACCAAGGTGAGAAGATCAGATTTTATTTTAAATGCTTTAGATAGTAATCAAAGTTTTAAACAGATGTGACATGATCCCTCCATAAATGTTTATGAACGTAAACTGAGTTGAATACTGTATTAGGGTTCTTGAGAGAAAAAGAATGTCTGTGTATGTGTGCGTATAATTTATCATAAGGTATTGGCTCATGCATTATGGAGGCAGAGAAGTCCTACTATCTACCATCTGCAAGCCAGAGACTCAAGAAAGCTGGCGGTATAATTCTAAGGCCGGAGAGCTGGAGAGCTGATGGTGTAGATTCCAGTCTGGGTCTGAAAGCCTGGGTCTGAAAGCCTGAGAACCAGGAATGCCAAGGATGAAGAAGATCCCTGGCTCAACTCAAGTAGTCAGGCAGAGAGCAGCTCTAACCTTACTCTGCCTTTTTGTTCTAGTCAAACCCACAATGGATTGGCTGATGTCCACGCACATTGGGGAAGGCCATCTGGCTTACTTAGTCTATCAATTCAAATGCTAATCTTCTCCAGGAATATCCCCACAGACACATCCAGAAATAATGTTTAACCAGCTATCTGGGCATCCCTTGGCCCAGGCAAGCTGACACATAAAATTAACCATCACAAATACCATTGAATTTTATCTACTGAAAAGTTTCCAGTGTACTGCAGCTTCTTTGCTGCACTATACAGTCCAACTTTGCCAAGCGTCCTGCTCATTGCTGAGCTCTGAAGTTTTTGGAACATACTTGCTGAACTGGAGTGGGTTGGACTGGACTCGTCCATTAGGGTCATTGTGTAATATCAGCTGCATAGTTTGAATCTCTCTCTCCGTTCCAGGGTGATTTATTGTGTACCTATCTTTCTTAACCCTCACTGTGCATCAGAATTACATGTGGCACTTTTTAAACATACACATGCCTTAGTTAAAGATCTTGCCCCAAGCCAGCTGAGTCAGAATCTCTAGAATAGTAGCTCTCATCCTTGCTGTGCATCGAGATCACCTTTGGTGCTTAGTTCAGAGATTCTTTTATGCTGTTTAACTCTCGGGATGGAGGAGGGAGAAGGACCGAGAAAAGGACTCTGAGTTACAAAACCGGAGGGAGCAACGCATTTGCAGATGTTAGTTTGGGCATCTTGCGAACTTGGCAGAAAAGAGTGAGGATGAATTTTGTGTAAAATCTGAAAATTGAACAAAAGTTTTTAGCATGCCCCACTCATGGCCTTGACAAACCCCATGTGATTTAAGATTCCCTTTATTGATTAGCCATTGCCCAAGTGAGCTCTTTGAATACTACTTTCTATATTAATCTGTGATTCTTCTGAAAAGATAGAAATACATTTTCCTAATCTTAGGTTCATTCTTTTTGCAAATTAAATATGTAGTGTAGGATTTGCAGGATAGAAACACTATCGCATTAGAATACAATATAGCCCTGGCCTGTGTGGCTCAGTTGGTTGAACATTGTCCTGTGCACCAAAAAGTCGCCGGTTCGATTCCCAGTCAGGGCACATGCAGGTTTGATCCCCTGTTGGGGTGTGTATGAGAGGCAACCGATCGATGTTTCTCTCTCATATCAATGTTTCTCTCTCTCGCTCTTCCTCTACCTTCCTTTCTCTTTAAAATCAATACAAACTTTTTTTTTTAAAAGAATACAATATAGAATAAGAAAATTATTTGTTTCTAAACATTTTATGTTTTTGAGCAGCTGATACTAACTTGAATAGCTGTGGATATTGAAATAGAATTGTTATGACTGACACTTTTTATAGATGGACTCTCCAGTAGTTGGTATAATTAAAAAGTGGTTTTGGCTGCAATATTTATTTCTTTTAAGAAAAGTTAGAACAAAACAAACAAAAGCCCTGTGTATTTAAAATAAAATGTCTAACAGATCTTAAAAAGAATACACTATGTACACCTGAATAATATTTCTCCTTGTATGCAGAAATGATTATTGTCACAATGATAAGTGTAGGAAGGCTCTTTGATTTGAAATTAACTCCAGTGATGTATATGTTTCATAGATTTTCATATGAAAATTATAATTGTAGAGGTTTGGGGGTTTGTGAACTCAAATAGTTAAGATTTCAGTACTTAAAAGATAATTGTACTAGATAACACATTAAAGAGATTTTGAAAATATTGTTTTGCAATTATAAGGGTAGAAAATGGAAAATAAGAAAAACAAAAGGAATAGAACAAAACTTAACATTGAATATTTTCATCTTGATTTTTAAATTGTTTTCTTATTTTTTTTTTTACTAACCGTGAATCCGGTTACTGTCAGTTGTTGCTACGTCAGTCGAAGACTTAGCCAGCTATCAAGTCATGATCCTCTGTGGAGAAGACATTGCAAAAAATATTGGCTCATATCTGAGTGAGTATTTGGGAAATATGTAGTCTTGAAATTTGGCTCTGGGCTTTCATAACACTGGTCTGTCCTGATTCTTCACTCTAACCCTTACCTCTTTGTCTCCTTTGGTGGCTCTTCTTGCCAGTAAATGTTGGTGTTCTCCCAGCCTTGATCCTTGGCCCCCTGCTCTTTTCCCTCAGTGACAGTTTATAGTGACTGTGATAGTTTATAGTGACTACTGTGTGCTGCTAACTCCCAACCCTGAATGTTCATCCCTGACATTCCCACTGAGCTTTAGACTTGTTTGGATAACTGCCTGCTGGACCTTTCCTTTGGATGACCCACAAGAGTTCACTGAGTTCAGTAAATGTTAATAAGTTTGACAGAATAAAAGTGTAATAACAGAAGGAAGGAGTTGGGAAAAGTGAAAGACAGGATAGGATTGCTAATATCTTTTTCTGAGATTGACGGGAGTCAGGTAGTGACTGAAACTGTAAAGCAAGAAGTAGAGGTTTAAGTGTATTATTGAAAGTTCCAAGCTCCTCAATAGAACTAAAACTTTATAACAGCATCAAACATTGGGAGGAGGAAGAATGGGGAAGAGAGAATTTTAAATCCTGCTATATCCCAATCTTTTACTTTAGGGTATCAGTAGATGGATGTGAAATTGATAAATCAAGAACCAGAGGCATAAACATTTAGAATTACAGAGATGACTAAACTTCCTTTGAGAGGTTGGGCTTATAAGTTCTTTGGTACTTTTTTGGTTTTGATAAATAGGTATATATATAATTTACATTAATAAAAAGGTACTTTTTTCTTCCACCCACCCCTAAAAAAATAAACACCCTGAATTGTTCTTTTCTCCATCTTTGAACCTGATAATCCTACATTCCTAGTCTTCATGGTGGTACTGTCCCATCCACCTAGGCCTCTAAGCCAAAAGCAGGAATCATCCCACATCTCTCCTTTCTCTGCTTCTCCTTCCCTCCTCCCTCCCTCCATTTATTCAGTTACTAAGCCTTTCTGATTTTAGCCTCTCTATTTCTTGAATCTTTCTACTAATTTCATCTAGCTATCAGTTTTAGTTCATTTCATCACCTCTTACCAGGACTACTGCAAAACCCTCCTAACTCATCTCTGAGCCTCTAGTTTACACCCCTCCCACACCATAGCCACAATTCTGCTCTTTGAACTACCCAGTTAAAACCCTTCAGTGCCCTTCATTTCCATGTTAGTATGTTACCTTACGACCCTTTGTGTGTGCCTTATCTTGTATCACTTCTGACTTATATCATTCTTTCTCCCTCATAAGCCTATGCATTTTTGAGGGCAAAAAGTGTGCCCTCTTTTTAATGTCCTCAAGTGGCAAAGTAGACATTCAGTACTAGTATTTGTGGAATTGTACCAAATCCAAATGTTGAATTGTGATTACTGTGATGCTATATGATTCTCTGGCTAATCCAATGTAGATAAATTAAATTAATATCATATCATTGGACTCTAAATGTTTTCTAAAATAGAACAACTACAGTTGACCCTTGAACAATGGGTTTGAACTACACGGGTCCACTTATACAGCGATTTTTTTCAATAACTCTTGTAAATTAATTTTCTCTTCCTTATGATTTTCTTTTTCCTAGCTTACTTTATTGTAAGAATACAGTATATAATACATATAACATATAAAATATATGCTAATCAACTATTTATGTTACCAGTAAGGCTTCCAGTCAGCGGTAGCTATTAGTAAACTTTGGGGGAGTCAGCAGTTATACTCATATTTTCTTTTAGTATTTGTACTGATTTTAAAGAGAAAAGAAGAGAGAGGGAGAAACATCAATTGGCTGCCTCCTATACACCCCCTACTGGGGATAGAGCCTGAAATATGAGCATGTGCCCTGACCAGGAATCAAGCCAACAACCTTTTGGTGCACCGGCATGATGCCCAACCAACTGAGCCACTCGAGCCAGGGCTCTACTTGGATTTTTGTCTGGAGTGGAGGTCGGAGAAGTCCCCACCCCTAACCCCTGCATTGTTCAAGGGTCACCTGTACATACGTATTTTAAATTTTGTAATTGGTATGATTTTAGAAGCAAGTTGAGATTCACACCCCATGTACCCTTCACATGTTTTATTAAGATTAGAAAATTTAGGAAAAAAGTAAGTAGAAAATAAGTGATTCATAATCCCACCATGCCAGCAATAACGCCTGTTAATTTTTTTGGTGTCACTATTTGCTACCTAGTTTTCATTTGTAGCTAAAATAAATGAAAAGGAAGGAAAAAGTAATCACAAATTTCTAATAAAGTATGCTTGTAAGTGTCTAAAATGCATGCTAATTTCAGAGAATTTTAATCTCATTTTTGTTATCTGTTTAGGGAAGAGAAAGCACAGAAGAATCAGTGCTGGAAATCTCTCTTCATTGATACTTACTCTGATGTAGGAAGATACATCGACCATTATGCTGCTATTAAAAAGGCCTGGGATGACCTCAAGAAATATTTGGAGCCCAGATGTCCTCGGATGGTTTTGTCTCTGAAAGGTATTGGGAGTGCAAAGGTCCCGCTTCCCCATTTTAGTTACTATAGTATAAATAGGTTAAATAACTTCAGGTCTCTCTCATCTATGCTAGTCTGTTCTAACCCAACATTGTCTGTAATTCACCATTCACTTTTGGCCAAGGAAATAGAAAGTCTATATTGCTTAAAGAACCCTTGCTCTAGTGCCTGCTCTACTTTTGCCTACCTCAGGAGCCACATGATTACTTATTAGAAGGGAAAGCTGAGCTGTTTATTCTTGTATTTGTTTTATATAAACAAACTAGTAATACAAAGAGCTTGAGGATAACTGTTGTGATTGCTTTTAAAATATTTTTTAATTGAAAAACTGCCTGCTGTATCAACCCTTTCCTATTTTCAGTAAAGTATGACAGTCTAGTGTTTGAAAAGACAAAACAATAAAGACCTTGGTCTTTAAGAGTATAAGAGCAGCATAATAAAGAAAACTTTCATCCCTAATTTGAGATTTACAGAATAGTGAAAACTAAGATTTGAACTGAGGTCTGTTTGACCTGCAGCTAGAGTTTGCTGATTCCTGATTTATACCAGTCCCCTCATTTTACAGGTGAAGGGGCAGGCTCCGAGAGTTTAGGTGACTTATGCAAGTTCACGTAACTAGTGAGTGAGAGAGAACTCTAACCGAGGTTTCTTGGCTCCTAGTAACCTTTTCACTGTCTCCTCATACAAGCAGGCTCGGGGGCAAGGGAAGTAAATGAATGTTTATTGCCAGTAAAGCATTTTATTAAGCACAAGAAGCTTATTTAATCCTCACTGTAATCCTCTCACATGGGTGGCATTATATCCCATTCCACAGTCGAGGAAACAGAATTAAAGAGATGAGGTAACTTGCAGAGTCGGTCAGTAAGTGGGAGAGCTGAGGACTCACCTGGCCTGACTCCCACATTCTGTTGCAGTAGGAAGCCTCTCTAAACCTTGATTTCACTGTTTTGTAAGCATATATTTCTTTATATTTCTCTTTTGCCATATTTGTTTGTTTGTTTTTTGGCTTTTGGCTTTTTTTCTTTTTTTTTCTCTCTTGCTGCCTCTTCTTTAAGAAATTCTGTTTCTTAATGTTGTATGTTAAATACTCGATGTGTAGCTCTATTAGTTTCTTTCCTCATCCAACTTCTGTTTCAGGCAGTTATTCAGCTTTTTTTGTACTAAACTTTTTAAAATAAAGTTTTTATTTTGGAGTAATTTTAAATTACAGGGAAGCTGCAACATTTTACCCAGTTTCACTTTCCCATAATGTATTGCTTTGTGGGACATTTGTCAAAACTAAAGTCTTCATTGGCACATTATTATTAACTAAACTCCAGACTTTATTCAGATTTCACCAGCTCTTCCATTAATGCCCTTTCAATTTCTGTATCCAGTCCAGAATACCACACGCATTTAGCTGTTATGTCTCCTTCGTGTCCTCCGGTCTCTGGCAGTTTCTCAGTCTTTCCTTGACTTTCATGACCTTAACAGTTTAAAGGAGTACTGGTGTGGTATTTTGTAGAATGCCCCTCGAACTGGCTGTGTTTGAAGTATTGCTCATTACAAACTGGAGAAGTGGGTTTTCAGAAAGATTACCACAGAGATATGGTGCACCTCTCATCCCTTATCTGTGGGTATGTGACATCCACATGCTGTCACTAGTGATGTCAACTAACCTACCAAAATGTGCGCAGGTCATAAGTGTACAACTCGGTGAATTATCATAGTGTGAACACAGCCATTGTAGCAGCTCCAACTCCAGAAGTAGGATAATAATCTGTACCTAGGACCCTCCCTCTTTCTCAGGGGTAACCACTCTCCTGGTGGCTAATACCACTGAGTAGTTTTCTCTCTTTTTGAATTTTATATAACTTGTATGATACATATATTTTGTGTGACTTATTTCCTTTTTTGTGCAAGATTCAACTGTGTCATCTCTAATAGTAGTTTGTTAATTTTTGTTGGGTGTAGTACTCCATTATATGAGTAGACCACAATTTATATGTTTATTCTACTGTTGATGGATATTTGGGTTATTTTCAGTTTTGGGCTATTACAAATAATGTAGTGTAAAAGAATTGTAATTAATACAAATGTAAATCATTATTGATATACGTATGAGCATATTTCTATCAGGTAAATACCCAGGATTGAGTTTGCTGGGTTGTAGTGTGTGCTTATATTGAACTTCAAAAGATACTATTAATTTTTCAAAGTGGTTCTACCACTTTACATTCCTTTAATGTTGTTAATGTTGTCATTCTTTGTATTTTAGCCTTTCTAATGGGTGTGTAGTGGTGGTTTTAATTTACATTTCCTTGAGCATGTACACTAAAAACAGTTTTATTTGTAGCTTTCCAATTCTTACATGTCATTTATTGCTTTTCTTGCCTTATTGTACTGGCTAGGACCTTATTAAACTGGCTAGGGCCTTCATACAGTGTTGGAGCAATGCGATGATAGTAAGCATCCTTATCATTCTGCAGTTTCAACATTTCTCCTTTAAAGATGATGTTCACTGTAGGTTTTTGTATATGTTCTTTATTAGATTGAAGAAAGTTCCTTCTGATAGTAGTTTATGAAGAGGATTTTTTTGTTTTCGTGTTTTGGATAATAGAAATTTTTTTTTTTTTTAAATACATCTTTATTGATTTCAGAGAGAGGAAGGGAGAGGGAGAGAGAGGGATAGAAACATCAATGATGAGAGAGTCATTGATCGACTGCGAGCCCGCAACTTGGGCATGTGCCCTGACTGGGAATCGAACCCCGATCGCCTGGATCCTAGGTTGACACTCAACTGCTGAGCCATGCCCGGCCGGGCAAAATTTTTTTTTTAATCCTCACCTGAGGATATTTTTTCCATTGCTTTTCAGAGAGAGTGGAAGGGGGAGAGAGAAACATAGATGTGAGAGAGACATATCAATTGGTTGCCTCCTGCACGCTCCCCAACAGGGGCCGGGGATCAAGCCTGCAATCGAGGTACATGCCCTTGGCCATAGTTGAACCCGGCACCCTTCAGTGCATAGGCTGACACTCTTAACCACTGAGCCAAACTGGCTAGGGCTAGATAATTGAATTTTTATCAAATGTCCTCCAGCCTTTGTGATTATCATATGATTTCTCTACTTCATCCTGTTAATGTGCCAAATTACATTGATCAATTTTCTGGATATTAAACCATACAATTCCTCAAATAAATTTACTTTGGTTGTAATGTATTATCCTTTTTATATGTTGTTAGATTTGATTGGCTAGTATTTGATTGGGTTTTTACATCTATGTTCTTGGGAGAGTTTGGCCTGTAATTTTCCTTTCTTACAATGTTCTTGTCAGGTTTTGGTATCAAGATGATACTGGCTTTCTCAAACTAGTTGGGAAGTGTTACCTCTCTTTCTGTTCCCTGAAAGAGTTTATGTAAGCTTGATTTTATTTCTTGCTTAAATGATTAGTAGAATGAACCAATGAAGCCATTCAATCCTGGAGCATTCATTGTGGGGAGGCTTTAAACTAAGGAATCAATTTCTGAATAGGACTATTCAGATTTTCTACTTATTTTCAAAACAGTTTTGATAAGTTGTGTTTTTCTAGGATTGTCCACTGTATTTACATTTCCTAGTTTATTGTCATAAAGTTTTTCTTAATGTCCTCTTTGTAATGCTTGTTGGATTTGTAGTGATTTCACCTTCCCATTTTTGGAATTATTTGTGCTTTCTCTCCGTTACTCTTGATCAGTTTTGCTAGGTGTAGGGGCTAATCAATTTTAATAGTCTTTTCAAAGAACTGGCATTTGCCTTTGCCAGTCCTCTCTATATTCACTTCTTATTTCTTATTTTATTAATTTTTCTGATTTCTTCGAGTTTATTGTCACTTTTTTCCTGGTTTGAAAGGATTGCTTAGATCATAAGTATTCAGTTTTTCTTACTTTTTTAAAATGCCTTTAGGACTCTAAATTTTCCTGGAAACATAGCTTTAGCTTCATCCCATAAGTTTTAATATGTTATATTTTCATTAACATACAGTTCAAAATATTTTCTAATTTCTTCTTTGACCTATGGGTTAAATAGAAATAGATGGCTCGATTTCCAAACAATTGGGGCTTTTTTAGTAATCTTTTTTATATAATTTATATTTTAATTCCACTGTGATTAGAGAATGTATTCTATGAGTTTAGTCATTTGAAATTTGCTGTGATTTTTTTCTCCAGTCCAGCATATAATCTATCTTGGTAAATGTTCTATGTACAGTTGAAAAGAATGTATATTCTGCCATTGTTGGATTCAATATGATACATATGTGTACTACCACATATATAATTAGGCAAAAATAGTTAATCTTATATTCTTGCTAATTTGGGGGGCTACTAGTTATTAGTTATGAAAAGTATGTTAAAATTTCTGTCTGTGGTAGGCATAAATCTGAGATAGTTCCCAAGATTCCCATACTCCTGTACATACCTGGTAAATAATAGTCTCCCCTTGAGTGTGAGTGGACTGTGGATATAATTGATTTCAGTCCTGTGGATAGGTCATGTTATATGACAAAGATGAAGGGGGTTTGCAGATGTAATTGAAGTCCCAAATTAGTTGATTTGAGGAAATTATCCTCAATGGTCCTCACCTAATCAGATAAGTCCTAACAGGAACTGGGCCCTTCCAGAAGTCGAAGAGATTTTTTTTTAATATATGTTTTTATTGATTTCAGAGAGAGGAAGGGAGAGGGACAGAGAGTTAGAAACATCAATTGTGAGAATCATTGATCGGCTGCCTCCTGCACGCCCTGTACTGGGAATCGAGGCGGCAACCCAGTCGTGTACCATGACCAAGAATCTAACTGTGACCTCCTGGTTCATGGGTCAAAGTTCAACCACTGAGCCACATTGGGCGGGGGAGATTTGAAGCATGGGTATCTCTCCTGTTCTTGAGTAAGCAAACTAGTATGTTGTGGGGAGGGCCAGGCGATAGGGAATGGCAAGTGGCTTCTAGGAGCTGAGGGCCTCAGCTGCAGCAGCAAGGAACTGAATTCTGCCAACAACCGGTGAGCTTCGACAAGGACCCCAAGCATAAGATGCATAAGATGAGCAGCAGCCCAGGTTGACACCATGATTTCAGCCTTGTGGGACTTGAGCTGAGGATCCAATTCACTCATGCCCAGATTTAACCTATAAAAACTGTGAAATAATAAAGGAGTGTTTTAAGCTGCTAATATTGTGGCAATAGAAAACTAATACACCCACTATGATTATAGATGTATCTTTTTCCATTTTAGTCTTTCATTTTAAAAATTACGTTTTGAAGCTGTGTTATTAGGTACACAAAATTAGAATTATACTATCTGTGTAGTGAATTTAACCTTTTTGAAAAAAGTCCTCCATTATCTCTAAAATGCTATTTGCCTTAAATTCTATTTTGTGTGATTTTAGTGGAGCTCTTTTAGCTTTCTTTTCTCTATCTGCATCTTTAAGATATGCCTCTTATAAATGATTGTTTTGTTTTTATCTGGTCTGTCAGGCTGTCTTTTAATTAGATTATTTACTCTATTTATATTTAATGTAATTACTAATATATTTGAAATTAAAAATACTGTTTCTATTTGTTTTTATAATTTGTGTCACTTGAGTAGGTGTTCCGATTTTGCATTCTTCTTTCTTTTATTCTGTACCCTCTTTTTTATTTAACTAAAGTCTGTTTTAAATGAGTATGTTTACCACTTTCTGGACAATGTAAGAATCTTAGAATATTTTAACTCCACTTGCCTTGCTTCTGCCTTTTGTATTATAGTTTTTGTGATTTTAATTTTTAAATGTTTTTTATATCCCTGGAAATGTTATTATTTTATATATTCAACATTATCTTAGATTTATCTTTTCTGTTGCTCTTCATTGTTTCCTGCACCTTCCTGCTTCCATGTGGGATCATTTTTCTTCTGCCTGAAGAATTCCTTTGTTTGTTTTTTAATGAGGGATTTTTTCAGATTTTCTTTGTCTAAAAATGTATGTATTTCATTTTCACTTTCGATGTATATATTCACTGGATATAAAACTCTTGTCAGTAGTTACTTTTTTCAGCGCTTTGAAGATACCATTCTTCTGGCTCCTGTTGTTTCTGCTGAGAATTTTGCTGTCAGTCTTATTGTTCCTTTGAAGTGGTGATGTGGCTTTTCTGCTTTTTTGGCTGCTTTGAAAATTTCTCTGTCTTTTGACTTTTCACAGTTTTCCAATAACGTGTCTAAATATGATTTTCTTTGTAATTATTCTCCATGGAGTTTATCATGCTTCTTGAATCTATGGTTTGGTGTTTTCATCAGTTTTGGAAAATTCTCTCAGTCCTGTGATACTGTTGAAAGCATTGCTCAACTTCTCTGCCACACAGGTCCACATGTTTGCTTTCAGAATTGAGAGTTGCCTCAAAGACAAGGTGGCTCCTTTGGAGGCATGGCTAACCTCTCAATTTCTCTCTTCTGGACCCCTCACCCCACCATGTCTGTCTGTCTCTGAGGTTCTCCAAAAGCTTTGAAATCAATTTTGCGTTGTTCAGTTTTTCTAGTTCTCAGCAAGAGGTTTGATCCAACAACCTGGTGGACCATTGCTGGAAGTATACCTCTTTTCTTGGTGTTTGTAATTCCTACTTTTTAGAGCTAGAATACATGGCACGCTTACAAACGTGCAAAACTGAGTTTAAGTTAATGGCCTCCTCACAGCATGAACCTACTATAGCAAAGCCCTATATTTCCTAGTAAGAGAGTACCGTAAGACTCTTGAACATCAGTTTAAAGAACTTCTGGAGATTTTTTTATTAATAGAGAAGTGTGGGTATATTAGATTAAGAAAAGTGAGATATGCCCTAATGTTTGCATTGTAATGTGAACAGTGATTGTGAATGCCGTTGGTGCATACCTTTCCACGTTTTACTTAGTGCCAGTGTTTTCCCTATTGAGGGGAGACTGAGGAATTTGCTTGCTCAGTGCTTCAAATGTCAGCCAATCTAAAGTGATGTTTCTCTGAAACTATAGTTTGTTTCTCTATATTTCAGCAATGCATTTTGGACAGAATTCACTTGTTCTAAGACTATTTCATTGGCTAGCAGGAGGACTGTATTTCATCTTAGATTTAAGGCTTATTGTTTCTTCACAGTTTGCTTTTTTTGTGAATTTGCAGAGGGTGCTCGAGAGGAAGACCTAGATGCTGTGGAAGCTCAGATCGGTTGCAAACTTCCTGATGATTATCGATGTTCATATCGTATCCACAATGGGCAGAAGTTAGTGGTTCCTGGGTAAGATGTTTGCTGTTTTGATTATTTTTAATGATACAGGTTATTTTCTAGAAAGAAAATAAACAAATTGTATTTGTAGTTACTCTTAATTGATTAAAGGAGTATAGGAATTCCCTCTTCTTCCTTGCAGCAATCCGTAAGACAAAATCTATAGCTTGAATTTGATTTTACCAAAATAAATGTGTCTCATAAGAACATTATCTTTCAACACATCCTTATTATGAAAGTGGACTCTGGTTGGGTGTGGGGGCAATTCAACATAAAGGAGATTCATGTGGGGGGGTATATTTTAAGTAAAACTGTTCAGAACCCTTGAAGTGTTTATCTTGTTTACAGGTCACATAATTTGTTTTGGAGAGCCTGATGCAAATTCTGTGTATCATACATGTAAAAATAATAAATAATAATTTGTTCAGAGCTACATACACTAAACTAAAAAATATATAGTTTTGTCCTATTCAAGCATAACCTATAATTAGATGGCCTATTTTAAACTTCAAAAAGATGAAGTATTCATTGTGAAACCTTTTGGGAAAAGCAGACCATGTAGTAGCTGTTAAATTCACTCACAGTTTTTAAAACTACATGCTTTGAATGGGTCTACTCCTTTTGTTCTTTTATGAAATTAAGCTATTTCAGAGCCATTGCATTTGTGCAATGCTAATAAGAATTTAGGGAGAATTTTGCGTTGTTCTTATTGGAACATGGAACATTCTTTGTGAAGAATCATATGAGGCTCTGTTACCATTTCAGATCAGGGTTGAGTGAGTACAGGGAATCTAGGAGGTGTCATACTAAGATTGCAAGGTAGTATTCAGAAATGAAACATTGGGCAGTTAGGACTAGATAAGCCCAAGTTACTGGCTTTTTTCCCCCTAGTCTGTTTTCTCGTCAAACTGGAATTTTACAAAATTGAAAAATTGTCACATTTCAGGAGCCAACAGTAGAGAACTTTATTAAAAGAGTTGCCCAGAATTGACATGACAAAAAGGTCATGAATTTCAACACAGGGATTTTTATCTATCCACAGCCCAGTGGTGAGACTTAGGATAGGAATCTCATTAAGGACCCACACCTGTGTTATTGTCATACACACGCAGTGCGATGCGCTTTAGATCCCATGCATCCCAAGTTTATGAAAATTTGGTCAAGCTTTAGGCTGATTAACGTTTATAATGTCTGGTAGGATAGAATAAGCTAACAGTTGTAACAGCATAAAGGTATCGGAGAGAATTTACCCCTTTAAACATTAAATTAGTCATACACACATACATAGCAAAATATTGGCAAATCAGTTTATCATGGCAAAATAGATTCTTGAAAGCAGTAAAACTATTTATTTTATTATAAAGCTGACATTTACACATTTTAGGCGCCTAGGCTTTTAGTTTACATCAATGTTTCCACTCAAGAGTTTGAATTTAATATGTAGATTGTAGTGTTTGGGCATTCCTAGTTTAGAATAGACATGTTAACTAGTTCTCATAAAGTTGTCCGTGTGAAGTTACTCATTAAGAAGGTGAAGCACCATTGTTTGTTTGGCACTGCAATTGATTACATTTTTGAGTCTGTTTTCAGGTTGTTGGGAAGTATGGCGCTGTCTAATCACTATCGTTCTGAGGATTTGTTAGACGTCGATACGGCTGCTGGAGGCTTCCAGCAGAGACAGGGACTGAAATACTGTCTCCCTTTAACTTTCTGCATACATACTGGTTTGAGTCAGTACATAGCAGTGGAAGCTGCAGAGGGCCGAAACAAAAATGAAGTTTTCTACCAATGTCCAGTAAGTAGGAAGTGTGTTTCAGTGTGGCTCTAAGATGTGTTCTGATGAGTGTATAAATGTGTGCATTAGGAATTTTCAGGGTTGTTGAATGGGTATAGAGCATTATGCAATTTAATTATAGACCTATCTAACTGGACGTAATGGCATGGAATGCCAAAAGAAAATTTTACCAGTGGACAAACAATGCAAACTGTAGTACATACAGAGGGAAAGGAATGATTGGTGTTAAGGCATTTTAAGTTTAAGGAAAACTAATGAGCTTTTTGTTGAAGTAATTGTAATATATATATTTCTAACTTTAAAAAATTAGCTTTTGAACATCATTTGATCCAAATGCAGTAGGAACTTTTTTAACTCTTCAGTAGATATTTGAGTTGTTGAAAAGTGAAGGTGCTTTTTAGAAGGCTTTTGTTATGACTTTAATCAGAAAATGTGGTATTTGGTTTTCGCCTTATTCTGTTTTCAGGAATTCCTTAGTTGTACAACTTCTGCTTTCATTTTCACCTAGCTGTGAACTTTTAACTCAAAAGAGGAATTTAAAATAAATACTTTTCATAGTTAACTGAGACATGCGACTCCATATAACATTTTAAATATTTTAAGAACTTTCAGAGCTCTTAATTTTGTTCTAGGCATTTTCACATCTTCTATCTCATTTTTTTATTTGAAACCTCTATAAGGTTATAGGATGATGGCTTGGTCTCTTTATTTATAGAGAAAACGTAGAATTCTTCAGATCTCTTGATTGAATGCAAAGCCCTTTCTTCTAGATTAATTGGCCATATTTCTTCTTACCTTAACTTCCTAATTCTTTTCCTGAAGGACAGTGTTTTAGTTCACTTGTAACAGTATTAGCAGTATATAAGCATTTAACTGTTATTAAGAAATACCAGGCACTTCTCTTCTAAGGACTTTATAGAAAGAACCTAAATAGAGAAATCATGAAGCAGGGACTGAAAAGTGTGAGGAATGTCCAAGTATTGGTTAGAGCACTTAAGTTATTTTATATCCCTTTTGCCTTTTCTCCAAGGAAGAATACAGATAATGAACAATGAGAAATTAAGTAAAAGGTATTTTTCTTAATTAAAATACTCTTTTTCTCACTTAGGACCAAATGGCTCGGAATCCAGCTGCTATTGACATGTTTATCATAGGTAGGAGAAAAAAAAGTATTTTTCCCTTTTCTCTCCTGGTCAAAAAAACTATGTTGGTAGAAACTTTTTATTTACTTAATCAGCTGGCAATTTTATACTTGTATTTCTTAAGGCTTACTGGTTTATAAAGTACTGTATCTAGGCACTTATAAGAATAGCCCTTGTACTTTATTTTAATTTGATTTCTATTTGGAAAAAAGCTATGCCCTATACAGTCTGTGTTCTTAGGACTTTACTATGGAACAGTGAAATGTATTGAATTAATATGATTAAGTATATAGTTCCCTTACATGCACATGTATTTCCCTTCAATCATATTACTACATAATTAGAGATATAGATATATAAAACCACTTTGTTTTGTTTTTTTTAATGTTGCCTTTTTTTTTTTTTTTTTAAAGATTTTTTTAGAGAAAGAGGGGGAGAGAGAGAGAGAAACACTGATGTGAGAGTGAAACATCAATCTGCTGCCTCCTGCACTTCCCCTACCAGAGATTGAGCTTGACACCTGGGCATGTGTCCTGACTGGGAATTGAACTGGTAACCTTTTGGTGCACAGGACAACACCCAACCAACTGAGCAACACCAGTCAGGGGGATACTTTTTCTCTTTTGGTGCCAGTGCTATAGTAAAATACTGATAAGTAACAGAAGAGACCTCAAAACAGCAATCTTTGAAAACCAGTATAAGCTGGGCTCCATAAACTCCTTGGCACAACTAGTTTTTCTTGGCCTTGAAAGAGTACTTCTCGAACAATTTGAGAACAATTCAATTTGTATGCAAGTGCTACTCACCCCTCTGCTATTCATTCAGTCTTGTTTTGCTTAGATTTTGCTCACTTAAGAGAAGCTTGCTGACTATCCATTCAGCTTTTTTTTTTAAAAAAATATGTCTTTATTGATTTCAGTGAGATGAAGGGAGATGGAGAGAGAGATAGAAACATCAATGATGAGAGGGTCATTGATTGGCTGCCTCTTTCACGCCCCTGACTGGGGATTGAGCCGGCAACCCACCTGGGCATGTGCCCTGACCGGGAATCGAATCGCAGTCTCCTGGATCCTAGGTCGATGTTCAGCCACTTAGTCACACCCAGCCAGGCCATTCAGCTTTTAAAAGACATTCCTGGCACATATTAAACATCCCCATATATTGATAGTAAAGGGGCCTTGCAGGCTAAGGTGTCTGCATTTAATTATTTCTCCTAACTAGAAGCTTAAATGGAGTATATGTTCTATACTGTGGCACATCTAGGTTTTGTGGCACAGTTTACACTACCAGGAAGCTGTCATTCCTACTTAGTAAGTTATAAAAAGCTTTGACACTTGGCCCTTGGCGGTCAGCTCACCCTGACTCATGTGGTCTGTGGTTTCTAAGTTAAGGACCCGCTGCAGTTTTGCTTCTGCTCCTTGCCCTCTTTGGTATCTTCACATAGTACACACTTTCAGAGAGGATCATCATGGCTCTAGTGCGACGGTGCTGCACAGTTTATAAGCTAAAGGCTGTGTGAACTCTGAAGTAAGCTACCTGCTAGGCTCTTTGAGTTTCTTACTCTTGGTTCAGTGCTGGTTTGACATGGTCTGGAAGACCCCACCACTACAGCAGAATACTAAGGTCTGATAATGCTATTCTGGTAGTTGGAATTTCACCTAGAGTGAGAGAGCAAAGCAAAAGATTTGAAATGAGATAGGAAGTTAGTGCTGGGAGGAAGGACGAGAGAACGGTTTCCTTTAAGCTACCCTGATAAAACCCCAATACTATCAAAGAAACTCCAAGATACAGGCTTACTTTAAAAGATAAACTACCCTTGACATCGCTAATCATCAGAGAGATGCAAATTAAAACCACAATGAGGTATCACTTCACACCTGTCAGAATGACACCATCAACAAATCAACAAACAACTACTGCTGGTTAGAGTGTGGAGAAAGGGGACCCTAGTACACTGCTGGTGGAAATGCAGACTGGTGCAGCCACTATGGAAAACAGTGTGGAGGTTCCTCAAAAAAACTAAAAATGGAGCTGCCTTTTGACCCAGTGATCCTNCAAAAAATTAAAATGGGACTGCCATTTGATGCAGTGATCCCACATCTAGAAATATACCCTAAGAATACTAAAATACTAATAAGAAAGAACTTATGCACCCCTATATTCATAGCAGCGCAGTTTACAATAGCCAAGATTCGGAAACAGCCCAAGTGCCCATCAGTAGCTGAGTGGATAAAAAAGCTGTGGGACATTTACACCAGGGAATACTACGCAGCTGTAAAGAAGAAGGATCTTGTACCCTTTGGGACAGTATGGATGNGGAATACTACACAGCTGTAAAGAAGAAGGATCTTGTACCCTTTGGGACAGTATGGATGGACCTGGAGAAAATTATGCTAAGTGAAATAAGCCAGGCAGAGAAAGACAAACATCACATGATCTCACTTACACATGGAATCTAAAGAACTTAATAAACTCATGAACAGAATAGATTCAGTGATATGGAAGCATAGAT